CCTTCACAAAGAAGATGGCCCTATATCACCATCAATAGAGACTTATTTTATTTTATTTTTAGATGGTTTTAATAGTAGTTGCTTTGAGTGGGGTCTTGTTCTAGAAAATACTTTAGAGTTCATCACGTAATGTATGATTAGATGAAGAAGTATTATAAGTCATTTTGTGACTTTGTAATCCCATGCTAAACTAGATAATTTTTAAGTTTTAATTTATGGTCTCATAACTGGGTTGAAATCTCCCAGGGTTTTTGTGGACTAAATATTTGGGAAAGACATTGATTATCTCCTCTTAGCTTCTCCTTGTCTCCTCCTAGGTATCACATTATATCTGTCCTCACAGGCTTATTGATAATGAAGGCTCAATTGAGGCAGGACACATGGTATAGTGAAAAGATCATCGCCTTTGGGGTCAGACTAAACACAAACTTTAGTTCAGCCGTGTAGGAATGTCACTCTGATATTCAGTTTTTAAATCTGTGAAATGTAGAGTGAAATATTCATTGCAGATGGTTATGCAATGAGATTATTTGTTAAAAGTGACTGACAAGCTCCCGTCAGTGCCCAATTAATGTAAATCCTCGTCCTCCTCATTAGAACTAATATTATTCGGTGTCTAAAATGTAAGAAATTCATCTGCTATATTTAAATGGCAACATTTACATGATCCATCATAATGAAGAATGTGAGTAAAACAAAAGTTCTTTTTAAAATCTGGGTTTATTATATGAAGATAGTGTTTAAACCTTTTATAAACTACTCTGGATGTACATAAATGCATGAATATGCTGTTCTTTCCTTTAGAAAAGGTTGAATGTCATGAGTTTCTTATTCTTAATATAGTGTACATTTTTTATATTGTCATTTTTATCTTTAAAGCTTTAGCATTTTGATTATTTCTTTCCTCCTACTATTTCTTTCCTACTATTGTCAATGAAAACACATAACCATTAAGAAGCATAGTAATAGGAATCAAAGACTTGGAGAAATTGTGAAACGTAAAGGCCAATTTACCTGGCTAGTGGGAATACGAATAATAAGCTAACATACTGAATTCCTCATTTTGGATGCTTTTGAAGGTGAACACTATACCTATTAGTCATGTAATAGATTATAAATAGGAAACACCTAATTCCTTAGAGCTGAACCAAATCAGAAACATTTAGAAAGTAATTATCTTGCTATCCAAAAAATACTATATTTTGGAAACAGTATTTGATTATTTTCATTTAATAACTACATATAAATCTGAAGTGATTTTTTTAAGGAAAAATATAGAAAATTATCTACTTTAATGCTTTCATTTGAAAGATCTGGTAGTATGCTAATGAAAGAGAAAACAGCAGAACTGGCACGTAAAGTGAAGGAAAAGCAATATAACCGAGAGAAAAGCAACCGTAGAGAAGATATATATTCCCAATTATAAGGAAGCAGCCTCATTTTAATTTTGGCAGAAGTTATTTGCTATGATTAGTTCAAGGCTAAAGTAACTTTGTTTAGTACTGTGTGATATCAGGATTCTAGAAAACTGTTACTTGCAGAATTGGTCAGAAGTAGATATCTGTACTAGCATGTATTGAATGCCCTACCGTGGGTTATTGTTGGAACTGAGATGGGGAATATCCTGTGTTCTGCTGGTCCAGCTAATCTGCATCCAGAATTTAGATGACAGGAGAATTCTGTGCAGGTTTGATGATGATCCTTTCTTTAATGAGGATCTTCACAGAGGAAATGTGGTAGGCGTTGGGTCTTCTGAGAGATCTGCTGTGAGTCTGATGGGCTTCCCTTTATGGGTAACCCGACCTTTCTCTCTGGCTGCCCTTAGCATTTTCTCCTTCATTTCAACCTTGGTGAATCTGACGATTATGTGCCTTGGGGTTGCTCTTCACGAAGGATATCTTTGTGGTGTTCTTTGTATTTCCTGGACTTGAATATTGGCCTGCCTTGCTAGGTTGGGGAAGTTTTACTGGATTATATCCTGAAGAGTACTTTCCAGCTTGGATTCATTCTCTTTGTCACATTCAGGTACACCTATCAAATGTAGATTAGGTCTTTTCACATAGTCCCACATTTCTTGGAGACTTTGTTCATTCCTTTTTACCCTTTTTTCTCTAATCATGCCTTCTCGTTTTATTTCATTGAGTTGATCTTTGACCTCTGATATCCTTTCTTCTGCTTGGTCAATTTGGCTGTTGAAACTTGTGCATGCTTTGGGAAGTTCTCGTGTTGTGTTTTTCAGCTCCATCAATTCACTCATATTCCGTTCTAAGTTGTCCATTCTCGTTAGCATTTCATCAAATCTTTTTTCAAGGTTCTTAGTTTCTTTGCATTGGGTTAGAACATGTTCTTTTAGTTCACAGAGGTTTCTTACTACCCACCTTCTGAAGTCTGATTCTGTCATTTCATCACACTCATTCTCCATCCAACCTTGTTCCCTTGCTGGTGAGGAGTTGTGATCCCTTGTAGGAGGAGAGGTGTTCTGGTTTTGGGTGTTTTCATCCTTTTTGCGCTGGTTTCTTCCCATCTTTATGGATTTATCTACCTGTCGTCTTTGTAGTTGCTGACTTTCAGATTGGGTCTCTGAGTGGATGTCTGGTTTGTTGATGATGAAGTTATTTCTGTTTCTTAGTTTTCCTTCTAACAGTCTGGCCCCTCTGCTGTAGGACTGCTAAGGCTCATTCCAGGCCCTGCTTGCCTGGGGATTGCCTGCAGTGGCTGCAGAATGGTAAGGGTTGCTACCAGTTTCTTCTTCTGCTATCTTTGTCCCAGAAGGATACCTGCCAAATGTCAGTCTGATCTCTCCTTTATGAGGTGACTCTGGATATACAGGGGTCAGGGAGCTGCTTGAGGAGACAGTCTGTTTTTTACAGGAGCTCAAGTGCTGAGCTGTGAGCTCCATTGTTCATTCAGAGCTGCTGGGCAGGTACGTTTAGGTCTGCTGCAGCAGAACTCATAAACCGCTTTTTGTTCCCAGGTGCTCTGTCCCACGGAGCTAGGGCTTTATTTATGAGTTTCTATTGTGCTGCTGCCTTTTTTTTTTCAGGGCTACCCTGCCCAGCAAGGAGGCAGCCTAGTCACTGTCTGCCTGCAGAGGCTTTGCTGAGCTGCTGTGGGCTCCGCCCAGCTGCCCTGTGAACTTCCCTGCAGTCTTGTTTATATGGGCATAGTTAGCACTGCCTTGGCAATGGTGGCCCGCCTCTATATTGGTGGACTCTCTCTGTAATGCAAGGTTGCCTCAGCAACGGCGGGTCGCCTTGGCAATGGCAGGCAGCCTCAGCAATGGCGGGTTGCCTTGGCAACAGCAGGCTGCCTCAGCAATGGCAGACTACCTCATTATTGGTGGAGTGCCTCGGTAATGGTGGATGCCGCTCCTCCACAGAGCTGGACTGTCTGGGGTTCAGCTGTGCTTGCTGTGAAACTCAATCCAGAGAGTTTCTGATTGCCATTCTTTTGTAGGGGTGGGACCAGCTGAGCCTGATCACCTGGCTCCCTGCCTCATTTTTTTTTTTCTTTTTTATCCCAGGTGTTCCAGTCACCTGTTGAAAGGACGCCGGGATCTGTTTCCTGTGCAGCAAACTACTGCACTGGCTTAAACAGCGGCGCTGAGATTCGTGGTGCTTTTTTTGCTCAGGAATCTCCTGGCCTGGTTCCTTGTTCAGTCCCCTCTTTAATCAGATAAACGTGTGGCTTCCTGGGGCTCCAATCGCCAGCCTAAAAGGCACCCAGACCAGCGTATTTTGTATGGAGAACCGCCGGCCGGGCCGCTGACAAAGCAGCCTCGCAGGGCAAAGCAGCCCGGCCGACCTAAAGAACCGCACCGGCCACAACAGCCTCGCTGGCGACTGGTGGGTCTCCTCCGCCTGGGAATCTCCTGGTCCATGGGCTATAAAAATGCAGTGTCCACTCACCCTCTGCTGTTTCACTGGGAGCTGCAACTCTGAACTGTTCCTAAACGGCCATATTTAGGCGTTGGGTCTTAAATGATGGGCACTATTTAGCTAAGCTGTTATGGTTGGAGGGCTTTTATTGTAGAGAGAACAAAATCAACAAAGCTAAGAAGATGAGGAAACACTTGGATATTTGGGGAAAATATATTTAGAAATGAAAAAGCTATAATGTTATAAACTAAGAAGATTTCCTGTTTGAGTTTGGGAGTTGAGCACTAAAAGCTGTGTAGTGACACAACTCAGAATTGTTTTGGAGTGATGGTTAGAGGGACCTGAAGTAGGCACATAGAAGGCAGCCGTTTCCATATGTACCACGTGCACATCCAAAGATGCCTGATGCTATTCTCATCACCCTCCCAGATCTCAGAGCTGCGGGTTCAGGGAGAAGTTACGGAGTAGGGTAAGATTATCTTTAGTTAACGCCATGTCCTTCTGTTTTGCTCCCACCCTCAGTAGACATGTATTGTTCTGTGCTGGCTTTCCAGACCCTTTCAATGGCGTGTCCACCTAACTTTGTCCTTACTAGCAGTGCAATGCCTTGGATGTTTGGTTATGGGAAAAGCTATCTCATAGAGTGTCTCATATGTGGCAGGCCATCAGGGAGGCAGCTTTGGTTGAGGGGGAGGAGGAACATGGGCTCCTCTTAGAGCCAACCATGCATTCAGGGGAGTGTTTGGTATCTCCCCAAGAGGATGTCATGGTTACAGTGGGTGGCACATTTTTCTCCATGTCTCAGGAAAGAGGCTGTTCATTCTGTAGGGTGAAGTTCATCACATGCATGAACATAGCTATTTTTTTGGTCTGTGATGTGCCATCCTCTGAGCCTGATGGTGGGAGGGTGAAGCTAAGAGCCTGGAATAGAACTTGTCACCTTGAAAACTCAATAGTAATTGGTAGCCAGAGTGCATTTTTGTGTGTGAGACCTATTTGACATTTGAGTGATTTGAGAGTGTGTTTTTCGGCTCTTTGTCTTGACAGACTGAGATGATTAATGATATGTGATGTTTAAGGAGATAAAATGAACAAGGCTAAAATACATGTAGTTTTCCTGACAGGGGACTTTTAGAAGGCATTGGAGAAGCATGAATATGTTTCTCTAAGTGACACCTTGAAAGACAAATCTGTCTTTCACCCCGACTGACAAATAAGAAACCTCCCAATCTCCTCATGAGAGCGTTCTCTGGAGAATAAACCAGTGCAATAGGCATGGCTTAGATTTAGGATACTACTTACTTTTAAATCAAGTGAAGCTTTAGTTTCAGTTATTTCACTGTGAAAACTGAAAAACTTTGTTTGGAAAAGATTTCTTCCCTTCTATTTAAATGTCCTTTTTTTTTTTTCCTTAAAAATTAAGCTTATTTTGAAAGCAAAATATGTTTAAGCCTCATGATAAAGAAATTTGTCTGTAATTCCATGCCTACTTTGCTGGAGATTAAAACCTCTTATTTGCAAGAAAACTTCACTAACCAAGGTAACAATCTTGGTGGAACGCTTTTGAGGCACCCACGGAGTTAATAATTGTTAGCTTGCAAGTTTTTTTCAGATGATCATCAGTCATTTTGAGTGTAGCTGGGAAGATGGGCAACATCATCTGTTAATTAAGAGTTTCTCCCAGCTACAAACTGTGCTATTATTCTTAAGTTAGGGAGAATACTAAAATGTGCTATTTTAGTTTGTTGCCTCTGTGTAGAATAAATGAGATTTTGAGGGGTCCCTTTTCATCATGTTTCTTGGTTATACTCGTTATTCCACTCTCACCCCTCAGAAAAAGAGTGTTTCTGTGATAGTTTCCTGGGGAAAGGATAATACTCCTATGGGAAATTTCACGTATTCATCTATTCCTACACACACACATGATTGGGTGCTTCTGTTTTGCAAGGCACCACGTTAAGTGTTGGGGGGAACAAAGAGGAAGGAATTAAGTTAGAAGTTGGAGGCTCTGGCTTGAGTTTATACAAAGAGATCACATTTAGCTTTTGTTACTTTACAAAGTCTCATTTCAAATATGTAATCCTTTCCTCCTTGCATATGTATATATGTTTATATTCTACATTTTTGTCCTTCGAGATTGAACTGGTAAGAAGATTGAAGATGTCAGTTTCAGGGCCTGCCAGCCTTGCTACTAAAGCTAATTATTTTGCAATGTGCAAATAGTATGATTGGGTTAGGGGAGCAAGGAGAGAAAATGGAAAAGCATCTCAAGGTGTGTAGGTATTCTTTGTCATCTCCATATATCTTTTGCCTTTAATTAAAAATCAGGTTAACTTTATTTCTGGTATAAAATCAATCTCTTTTATTGGGCAGTTATTGCTAAATTCTCCAATTTCAACTTACTCTTTTTATAGGCATCACAGTTAGACTGTTGCTAGACTAACGTGTGTGAAATAGATTTCTGGCAACTGAAATACCTAGGCCCATTTGGGAGACTATATTTTCAGTATATGTATGTTTCCCCAAATGTAACACAGACTTCTATATTTAAAATACATAAAAGGCAGTACCGAAAGCACATTGCAAAAGTGGAAAGGGGGAAATATTAACACTCCCTTTATTAGCTATAACATCACACAGAATTTCTATTCACAGATAAGAAAAAAGTTCCTGCCTTTGGTACAAAAAAATTAAAAGAACAATAAAATTCAAAAAGAAAAAAAATCACCCTTTGATTTTTATCTTTTGTCAACATAAATAACTAGCTTTGCTTTAAAATCAATTCCCTTCCTCATGTAAGTTCTTGAGTCTTTAAAAATGCATACAAAATGACAAAACAGTAACAAAAATAATTAACACCATCAATAAATTGCAATTATTATGTGCTGCAGCTTTTCAAATCAATTATCTAACACTGTTTCTGGTGGAATAAAAAGCAGATCTTAAGTGGACACATTACATTCAACACAACTTTGCTATTTGAGAAATTAATACTGTAAGAGCTACTTTTCTTTCATTGTCAAAAGAAAGTCGCTATTCAAGTTTGAGGAAAAGGGTGTCCAGAGAATATTTTCAAATTATTGGCTAAATTGGCTTTTGCTTCTTTCTGTCTTAATTCAAGTTGCCTCCACAGAGAGGGATGCATATTTGGGCATGTGCAGTATAGGGAAGGGTGCCTTCCCATACGGCATTAAATCCACTTCCATTTATTCCATGACTTTTCTTTCCTTCTGTTCTCTTTACTTCAAGGTGTTACTTGGAGTGACACCCGGAAAAAAGTGAGTGACTTCAGCAGAGTGAGCTTGGCTGGGCAAGGAAGGAGAAATAGAGGGAACAACTAATGGTCCTTCTTGCCCTTGTCTTTTCAGTCAGGAGAAACTGGCAAAGGAGATCTTCTGAAATTCATTATAAACTTCAAGAAACTTGGTAGTTTGCTGCCAAGGCCAATAACTAAGATATATTTATGTATTTTGTGTTGCATATTTGACAATTTAGTAAAATAAGTATTTAAAATAATCACATTTTGCTTTTGGTAATGGCTTTCCTCTTAATACGCTCCAAAATTTATAGGAATTGGAGCAGAGTCTGTGGATGACCAGGATCTATCTTAGGTCTTGGTTGGACCATCTAGATGGCCCTAATGAGCTTGCTAAAAGTCTTGTAACAGGACAGAGGTGCATAAGACTGGCTTTTATTCCAGATCATGCCTGAGAACATAGTAAATCCCTTGGCAGGAAAACAGGTGACACCCTCACTCCCGGGACAAGCTAGCTAATCTGTAATTACCAAACATCTTAGTGTTCCATTCTAACTATTCCAGGAGGAAAAAAGAACACATGATAAGAAATATTTAAAGTGATAGAAATACTTTATGTTGTGAGGGGGAAAAATAAGCAAAAATATTCTTAAAGTACTAATGTCTTATTTTTTCTTTGAGTGAAGATTTGTTGTTGGGACTATTTTATTTATTGGCAATGACAGAAAAAGTACTTAATGAACAAGTACTTTTCAAGGTCCTAAAGCTTAAATCAGCTTTTCAAGAGCCTAGAAAACAAGTTTGAAGATTTAAATTTCTTTGTTGGCTCCAAAATTAAAAACAACAATATCCTAAAAATTGAGATTAATTAATATTTAATTTAAATATCTTTAAAATATAAAATTATATCAGTCTACTGCAATTCAACTTGTAAAGTTGTAAATAATTTCATGAATTATTTTAATAGATTTGATATATTATGGAGGTGGCACTTCCAAAGTAAGAAGCACTAGATCTTTCAAAGATCTTAAAATTTGGTGTGTGTCGGGAGATAGGGGTTGGGGATGGCATAGGGTGCAGGCAGGGGAAGTTTTAGGTACGGGAAAAAGTTCTTGAAAACTTCTGGCCAAAATTAAAAGTGATGTTGTTGAACATGATAATTTTCAAAAGACTCATATGCAATTTCCAAAAGTGCTACTAAAGACCAAATTGTTTGTTTTTGAGCAAAGACCACAACTTAACTTTGAAATGATAAATGGGATTAAATCAAAGTCATGATGTACAACTCAAATAAGTTTCAGAGTTGGCAGTCGACATTCCCCAAGCAACGAGTTAGAAAATCTATTCTTAATGATCATCATGAACATATGTGCAGATGTGTTTTCCTTAAAAGAAAACCAGATACACTGAAACTGAAATTCACAAAATAGCTATGTTAAAGAGTTGCTTTATCAAACAATGTTTTGCTTTATAAAAGGGGTTTCTTGAAAATTAAGTCATTTTATTGGAATACACATGCTTGAAGCATTTCTTTAGAGGCCGCTGTCTAATTAGAGGGGGAAGAGATGGGGAAATTAGAGAATCCACAAAGTCCAAGCTGGGGTTGGGGTTGCTTACGCCTGTAATCCCAGAACGTTGGGAAGCTGAAGTGGGTAGATTGCTTGAGCCTGGTGGTTTGAGACCAGCCTGGGCAACATGGCAAAACTCTGTCTCTACAACAAGTACAACAATTAGCCGGGCCTGGTGATGCACACTTGTAGTCCCAGCTACTCTTGAAGCTGAGGTGGGAAGATGAGCTGAGATTGGGGAGGTTGAGGCTGCAGTGAGCCATGACCATGCCACTGCACTCCAGGCTGGCTGACAGAGTGAGACCCTGTCTCAAAACAAAAACAAAAACAAAACTAAACAACCACCACAACAAAGAGAATCACAAAGTCTGAACCCAACATGCCTAAAACTCAACCTGTTACCATCCAAAGCTGAGCCGGCTCCCATCCTTCCTCACATCCTCTACTCATCCTAACCTCTTCCTCGCTTACCTCAGTGCAAGGCACGTTTGTTCACTCATAGCCTAAGTCAGAAGGCTCTCCCCCCAAACCCAGAAGTTCTCTTTGCTACTTCTTGGACAGTTACCAATTACTTCTGTTACCTGTGCCTCTTCCACTTGTTTTAAGTCTTGGAAGGAGCTCTTTTTGCTATGTAATTTTATTTCAGCAGTCCTTTTTCCTATGGAAGGATTTTTGCAATGAATCAGATGCTCCCGCTATTTACCATATATTGTCCTTCCAGTTTTCTTGTAATGCAGATTATTCAGATTAGGAGCCAAGGCAGAGAGATTAGAGGGAATGAAGGCTGGGATGTGTAAAGAGGTAATACACTGACATTTACTGAGTCCCAGTGATGGTTCTGGCACTCTACGTGGTGCTTCGTATAATATATCTGGTTTAACTCTTTTTTTTCCCCCATTTATTTATTTATTTATTTATTTTGAGACAGAGTTTCACTCTTGTTACCCAGGCTGGAGTGCAATGGCGCGATCTCGGCTCACCGCAACCTCCGCCTTCTGGGTTCAGGCAATTCTCCTGCCTCAGCCTCCTGACTAGCTGGGATTACAGGCACGTGCCACCATGCCCAGCTAATTTTTTGTATTTTTAGTAGAGACGGGGTTTCACCATGTTGACCAGGATGGTCTCGATCTCTTGACCTCGTGATCCACCCGCCTTGGCCTCCCAAAGTGCTGGGATTACAGGCGTGAGCCACCGCGCCCGGACCCCATTTATTTATTTTATTGCATTTTAGGTTTTGGGGTACATGTGAAGAACATGCAAGATTGTTGCATAGGTACACACGTGGCAGTGTGATTTGCTGCCTTCCTCCC